TAAGTCCAGTGCCGTTTGGCACGTCTGGGAGCTGTCACAGATTAGGGTAATATCATCAGCATACTCTAAGTCAAGAAGTCGTTCTCCTGGGAGTAGCTCCACACCTTCTAAGTTGTGTCCTGTGAACGCGATTTCCATGAATTAGTCAACAGCAAAGTTAAAGAGGAAAGGTGACAGCGGGTATCCTTGTCTCAAGCCGCTAGAGATATTAAAGGGCGACGACAACTTGCCGTAAGCTCTCACTCTGCACGAGCTACGTGCATATAATTCTCGGATAATATTCACATAGTTCTCAAGTACACCTTTCATGAGTAGACAGTCCCAAAGTGCATGTCTATCCACAGAATCGAATGCACCTTTGATATCGATGAACACGACTACGGTGGGCCGCCAATATGTGTGACGGTGCTCCAACAACTGACGCAAGGTGAAGATGTGGTCAATGCAGCTACGACCGCGACGAAATCCAGCTTGCTGTTCGCGAATCTGGCTTTCACGTGTGCCAGTCAGTCTGTGAAGGATGACAGAGGCCAGCAATTTGGAGGCAATGGAGATCAGACTGATTCCTCTATGGTTGCCGCATCCGATCGTGAGCCTCCCTTGAAAATTGGGACTATGACGGAGCGGCTCCGGTCGGTTGGGACAGTTTCCTGCTCCCACAGTTTCACTAGCAATTCGTGTAAATTATCCACAAGCGCAGGTCCGATCTCAAGTTCGACTTCTGAGCGAGAGGGCGGATCCAAAGGGACAGCCCACGGAGTGAGGCGATCATTGGCCGGCCCAGAAATCTAACTATTCCGACCGAATAAAGTGCCATTTAAAGTGCTAAGCCCAAAGCTAAACAGCGTTTGGACAAGTTGTGGATTGGCTGTCCACTCTCGTCACCAATTTTTTCACTAACACCAGGTCTTCCGCTGCCCGATTCCCGTATCAGCCGGAATAAGTTGCGATGGTTACCAAGGGCAGCGGCCATTTCGATCTCTGATGCACGATGAGACCACCAGGATTCGCGGTCTCTCTTCAGGGTAACACGGAGTTTTGCCCGGAGCTCTTTGCGAGTTTCATTGTGTTCGCCAGCGAGCATCTATAAGTTCCAGATACTGTGAAGAGACCCAATGTCCATGTGGGCGATTAGACATACCACATGAGGGTTTTCCTGCTGCTAGTAAGGTCTGGTGAATATGAGACCAGTGAGCTTCAATTGCATCCAGCGAGCGTTTATCCAACTCGCATGACAGCGTACTTTGATAGGCATTCAGTACAGCTGGCTTCGCTAGTTGGCTGATCTCGATGCGCTCACAACATCGTCGTGGGCGTCCGCCAAAACGCATCCGCATGTCAGCAAATACAAGTGCATGATCGGTGTCCACACATGTGCTCCAAATCCAGCGACAGTTCTGGATGCAGCCTCTCCAGCGGTAACTGATTGCAATGTGGTCGATTTGCGTCAAAGGCTGGTTCGAGGCTGGTGGGCGCCAGGTCACCCTTCGGCGGGTGCTGTGTCGGAAATTAGTGCTCGCAAGAAATAAGCGAGCATTCTCACACAAATGAAGTAACCGCTCACCGTTATCATTACGGGAGCCTCTACCATGTTGGCCGCCCAGATGCAGCTCATCAGTGCATAATTGTCCAACTTGGGCGTTCGGATTCCCGGCCAGCACTACAGTGTCCGAGCTTCTTCTGAGGCTAAAGAGCTCGTTCAGTTGAAGATAGAAGCCGTCTTTTACCGAGTCATCGCTACAGTTTGTCGGTGCATAGGCAGCGATAATGAATAGACACCTGTTAGTCCCACGCGACTTCGGAGTTTTGAACGAGCCAGCCAATCGGACCGCACATATCCGGCTACTGATTTGAATCCAAGCAACCAGAGCAGTTTCAGCCCGGGGACTCAGGGCAATACCAACACCAGCTTGGCCGGTGCTCGAAGCTGCATCGTCGCCAGATAGGCGCAGTGAGAAAGTGCTGCTAGTACCACCTGAAGGGGAGGAGTACAGAGCTCGAATCTTGCAGGTGGGTCTCCGATAAACAGCAGATATCGATCAAGCGGGTCTCTAATGTTCGGGTAAGTGCTACCTGTTGACCTATCTGAAGCAATGTACGAACATTGAGGCATGCCAATCTGAAGGAGGATCGAGGGCTCCAAATGGAAACCGATGAACGGGGCTTGACCGCCTGGTTGAAGATGGGCCCGTTAACAGGGCAGGAATGACGCTCCGCATTCACATGTGAGTTGAAACTTAAAGGCACGCGACTATTGAAGGAAGGTGGTTGAGGGCCGAGAATTGGGGGGTTGAAAACAGGGGGATAGAAGTGAAGCTGGGACCGGAGGATAAGGGTGAAAAGCGTAAGAGGGGAATAAGAAGACGGGAAGGCTTGAGCAGTAGCATCCAAACCCCTATACACCCTGCTCTATGCAGCAGATAGGGCACCGTTGATTACCCTCTGCGGTGGCCAGAGCATCAGAAATTTGTTTGAAGTGAAATTCATTGTATTGCGTGGGCAGGATACTGTCAGGTTGCTCAGGCCTAGACAGGAGAACGATTAGGGTTCTCAACCAAAGCCTTTGGTTCAAAAACCTGTCCGCAAGGCAGCGGGTTTGGCATTGGGCTACAAGGAGTCCGATTTAAGGAATAAGGTGCCACCCTCATTCCAACCCCCAACCTGGAGGGCCAAGAGGCTGAGTTTGTGTGGCCTCTAACCATTGACCAATCTGGTATGAGTGGCTCTGAAGGTGCAAAAATGCACCACCCAGTATAGCTCAATGGATCGCTGAGGCACACAAACCATCGCACCACGGTAAGGTCCAGCATCACTGCGATGGAACGAGCTATGTCTGCATATCTGTATGCATTATCTGGTTTATTTTATTTGATATTTTCGTTTCAAGTGACTGGCTGTTGCTTGATATCCCCGGTGTGGCTGCGCTTGATGTGTATGTTGACAAGGTGTCTACCTGTATATTACCCACTAATTCGTCCATACTGGCTCCAAGAGACAGTTGGTCGTTGTCGTAGGAGACGGGGTACAAGGTCCTTTTAGTCGTGGTTTGCTCGAAGAGTGGTTCCATACACTTAGTGTGTAGCGGACTACGGTCCAGCCACCGCCTTGTGTGCGCTAGATTCCCCGAATCCAGCGTGCCTGTGTTTGCCTGTGTAGGAGTGTGGGCAGGCTCCGTTGATGAAACATGGCTCCCATCCACATGCCTCCCAGTCTTATCCCTTCGGGTTTACACTGCATATGGGTTGTGTAGTTGGAGCTGTGGGTAGTGTAGCGCAAGCGACCCTTGGTCCCTCTGTAAGCGTAAGTGTCCTGTAACTGATCACATTGATAGGCAAATCCGAAACCGGATGCCTCCAACCATAAACCTCTGGCCACTGTATGAAGTGCGATTTACGGAGACTGTGGTGCAAGCCACGGATGATGCAGCATAGTCTGTTGATGCGTGGCGGGAGTTGGAACTGGGCTTAGTATACATGAGTTCGGAGGTTGGTGGCAGTGCACAGGACTTGTAAAACCACGTGGTGCATCCAGCCTCCCCAATGACTGGTTGAAACGCGTCGGGAGGAGGAGAGGTAGCAAGGGCGCCGGGTGAGTCGGCGCTTTCCAAAAAATTGCAAGTGCATGTCAGCTGCATGTTGGTAGTGGTTCTCCAAGTGTAGCAGTATCTTGCGATGGTTTACTACATGAATGGGTGTATACACAAAATGTTGTGCGGGTTGTGATATAGTGATTCCATGAGAGGGTGCAATGTTGCTCCTGTAGTTACCATCATGACAAAGATAAGCTTCTGTGCCCATGGAGGGGAATGAATGGGCGCACAATGGGTTGGGGGATAACGAACCACTTTACGAATTGGGATCTCGTGTACGTCCAGAGAAATGCGAGCTTATAATGCCAGTATCACATACCTTGGCTTGGTTATCGACAGTTCCGGTCGTCGGCCAGACCCAAACGAAATAAAAGCCATCAACTTAATGCCACATCCCATGAACAAAACTACTTTACAGTCATTCTTGGGGCTAGTTAACTTTTACCACAACTTTGTCCCTCAAATGCACAAACTAAATTCACTTTTGGCAAACGAGTCATTGTAACATTGGTCCTCGCAGTATAAGAAAGCCTTCGATGACGTTAAACAAATATTGTCCTCCAATCTTTTAACTCATTACGACCCAGGAGTACCAGTAATTGTCGCTGCTAATGATCGCAAAACG